TGTTTTATTATATGTTTATGTATATATAAAACTCTCTGCTGGATTTTTGTCGTGGAAACCATTCGATCAAGTAAAAATGACTGCGTGACAAGACGAATCAACTATTTATAAATGATAAAAGAAACTGCCTTATTTTAGGAACGGTGCTATAACAGGACATTTGAAATTTCTAACAAGCAGATACATTAGAGACAGTGACTAGACTACATGTACGTAATCCGTATCAATCAAAGGTGTAAAATAACTGAAAATCATATCTGTCGGAGACCTACCAAATTTACCAAGTTTTATTATTACTATATTTATAATAATGCAAATACATTAGTGATACATTTTTCAGAGGAGAGGGCGTGCACACAAGTATGTAGCTTCCGTGTGTGAATGCAGGTTATACTTGGCATCTCAGTTCCCAGTTTCATACCGGTCGTATATCGGAATTTGTATATGGAACCATGCGTACAACATGACAATTACTTGCTAGTCGTCAGTCTACAACACACATAACACGGTCAAACAATTTTAGGCACCGCTTTTGCAAGTTATTTAGTACAATAATATTTATTAAATCTATTTCAATTTGTTTTCACCATTTTCTTAAAATCTTATGTCCAGTACATATTTTCACGAACAGTGCTGTTAGCTGATTTAAGGAAATAACATCCAGTTGAATTCCCAGTTGACGTATTTACTTTTTTATATCAAATATGAGGACTGTATACGACATACGTTAGTCTCTTAACGACGTTTCTACAAATAATATTTTGAATAAGCCGTTAATATGCCAGTTGTGACAGGCCTAGGGATGATGGTATGGTAGCTGTAGCAGACAGATTGACAGTCGTTACGTGCGTCACTAGGTAATTAGTACGGCATTGACCTTGTTGATTGTTACTATACTTTGAGGATTTCTGTGGCCAGTGGCGGACGTAATTCAAACTCCTTCCACACTGACACCGCATCAAATATATTTGTGTACCGATTACATAACTCTTACGGACAGGGTGGGGTGGTAGTTCACCGGACGACACTGTGTATATTGGGCGGCTCCTTTGATATCTCCTCCAAACATTCTTTTATTGAATGACCCATTAAACGATGATACACATTTCGTTGAATATATCAAGGCACTAATTCATCTTTCATAAACATTTTTTTGTCTTTGTGCTTAATATATCCACATATCAACAAAAATATGTAATACATGTATCCACCAGAAAATATACATTTATAGGCTAGGTATTTGCCCACCGCAACACCTGCATAACTGTTTATTCACGCGTGGTGTGGTAGATCGTAATTGACCGAGAGCAGGTATTGTAGAATCACCTGTAAATAAGGCCGACACTGTAATTAGATACAACGTACTAATAAGAATATGAGAATTATCACAAGAAGGCTGTTGCGTTTTTCTTAACTGTTACCATTTTCATACCAAAAGTGACAATGCATTTAAAAGTTGCTTTAGTGTCACAATATTCACTCAAGTTTTCCTCAATCGCATTGAAACATAATTCCCACTGGTCAGTTCGTCGACGCATGTAATTAAATAATTATTTCGAGATTTCGTTAGAATGTGAGATATTCAGCCAGACGTTATGCAATAAAAGACGAATAGTTTTTTCCATTAAAATACGAGCACGTGTACCTGTATACTGCATACCTAGTGTCACGTAATTGCCCAGTGTGATGTATCAACGGGACATAAAATGGGAAATGAAAAAGAAACTCACTAAACTCTAATGTTGTGGAAAATAACTCCAATGAATTGGAATACACGCGTATGAATTTGTATGACAAACTGTCAAAACGTTTTGAGAGGTAAGGCCGGGTTCATTAAAGATCGCTACAATATGTAAAACAGGTGAAATTTGTAAAACTTCTATAAAGGAAACATCCAACCAAAGACCTTTTTAAATAGCAATGTAATGATATATTATAAAGTATATTTCACATGATACAATATACTTTGCACACAGTTAGTTGATGCTTTAAAGGGACTGACGAAAACATGGGCGAAATATTTTAATAACGCCAAAAATAAGTTGAATTAACTTAAAATGAGTTGAAAATCATGTGTCATGCTTATAATCCCTTTATGTATTTGCGAAACTAAAACTGTTGAGCAAAGGAAAATATTCTCGCCCATGGGCCAAACCTTTTTCTCGCCCATGGGCGAAATATTTCAAAATCGCTATAAAATCGTTGGATTAAGTTAAAATGAGTTACGTTCTGTGTCATGATACTTGAAATATATACATATATGTATTTGTGAAACAAAAACATGAGTTTTGAGTAAAGGAACATATTCTCCTCCATGGGCCAAACCTTTTTCTCGCCCATGGGCGAGATATTTCAATATCGCTATAAAATCGTTGAATTAAGTTAAAATGTGTTACATTTTGTGTCATGATACTTGAAAGACATATATTTATGTGGCTGCGAAACAAAAACATGATTTTTAAGTAAAGGAACATATTCTCGCCCATGGCCCTGCCCATGGGCCTACCCATGGGCCAATCTTAGGTTTCCAGAATTAAAATGGGACGTGTTTAAATAAAATCTCACCCTTGTGTCTTTTGATATCAAATATATCAACACTCGTTGATAAAAGTGGCAAAAATCCTCGGCAAGCCTCGGAATTTTTCCACTTTTATCAACTAGTGTTGATCTATTTGATATCAAAAGACACTCGGGTGAGATTCTCTATTTGAAAGACTGGTTGGGCGAGCATGCATTCGCGAATAACTGTGTCGACACCCAAATGTAACAACATATTTTAGTCCAAGGATGCTTCTTTATCGACAAGGGGCGGTAGGGTAGCCTTGTGGTTAAAGCGTTCTCTCGTCACGCCGAAGACCCGGGTTCGATTCCCGACATGGGTACAGTGTGTGTACAATTCAGCACATGTTTCCAGTATTTTGTTCCAGGACCAAATGACAAAAAGAAGGTAACAATCATGAGATTAAATGTCCTAGCGTAACATTCATTCCTAAAAAATACACAATCTTTCAACATCCCTTTGTAATATACAGTTCGCTTTGTTCATTGCACAGGGATTCACTGATATGATCGTTTGCTTATTTAACAAAGAGGTTACAGGTTGTTTAGGTGGTATTGATTGTACCGCAAACAATGGTGTGTCGGTGACACTGTATGTTGTCACAACTCGACAGAAGTCCGATGCACTTCCGTGTTCGGTAACCTCCCAAAACCCCTACATCCCATTTCCCCTACAGCTTAAGACAACAAAGTTCACGGTCCATGGCACTGCTAATCCCTAGTCTGTTACCTATTTCATTCAATGGAACAACCCAAGAAACACGAATAGATTGAGATAAATATTTAATTACGATTACGATATTATTCAAAATTCATAATACATTATAATAAAATGTTCATTTTTCAAAATTCATAATACATTGTAACAAAATGTTCATTTTTCAAAATTCATAATACATTATAATAAATTTCATCTCAAATTCAATTCACTCTTTATCCCAGCCTAAGGAGATGGCCAACCGCATCTAGAAACTGCATTGGGGATTTCACCTCTCTATTCAACTCGTCCTTCAGGCGGCAGAGACGGTTCTCCACCTCTCTGGACACTCTCTTCCTGCCTCTTGGAGCTGCTCCAAAGTCGAGCTGTAAAATCTTAGCTCGTTCTGCCTGTTCCACCTTCCTGACTGGAGGGATAGTTTAGCTACTTTATCGGCGTTTTCATTACCGTATATTCCTACGTGGGCGGGTATCCACAAGAAGGTTATTTGTTATTTGCCTGCCTTAGTTAGGTCGTTGGAGCTTTTAAGTGAGCGAGTTAAATTTTACATCGCATCGGCAATATTGCAGCCATATCGCGATGAGAACGAGCTTTTAAGTATTTGATTTATTAATTTAGGTCGGTTTTTGGTATTTTTGTTTCGGAGGGCTTGCAGTCCACTTAGGGAGTCGGTAAGTATTAGGATTTGTTTGTGTTTTTTGGATTCTTGATTATGGAGGGCTGAGGCCATGCCCATTAGTTCTGCCGTGAATATTGATTGGTTGTTTGGGAGTCGGAAGGATTGTGTGGTTTTAGTTGGTTGTGTGGTAAGGACTCCGATGTTATTTTGGGTTAAGTAATGTTGTAATCTATTTTTAGCCATGATTGATTCCATTACTTTACATAAGTTTGAAGTTAGGGATTTTGGTCTATATGAGTTTATTAGGTTTAGGGATTGGTATGACTAGAGCCTGTTTCCAGGGGGTAGTAACCTGTCCGTTTAGGTAGATGAGATTGTATAGTTTGAGTAGTGCCTGGAGTAGTTTTAGGGGGAGTTTTTTAATTATTTGGTAAGAAGTTAGGTCTAATCCTGGGGCTGTGCCCTTTTTCCTGTTTTGGATTACGTAGAGGAGCTCCTCCATTGTGTTGGGTTGATTTATTTCTAGATTGTTATTGTTTGGTTCTTTTGTGGGTTTGTTTTCTGTTTTAAGTTTATCTTGGAATTTTTGACTGAAGTTGGTGTTACTGCTAACGGCCGAAAAGTGGTTGGCGAGATTATTTGCTTTTTGGGCGGGGTTGGTTGAGTTGTCAATGTTAGGTTTTTTTTTTGTCGTTTTAAGCCTCTCATGTTAGTCACTTTGAAGTATCTATATACTAAACCAAGCCATCTCAACTGTAAATCGTCTCATCTCAGTTTCTCAGTGTAATAATTGTTTCTTCCTATTGTTATTTTTGTAATTTCTAAAAATTGTCTTCTCATCATACAGGCATCTTTCATTACACTTACATTAATTCTTTTTTTTAAAAACTTTCCTTTAAGTCCCCTAATCCCCTAAAGCTCTACCCCTTTCATTTCTCCTACCTCTACTCCAGACCTTAATCTCTCCTTTAGGTGAGTTCATAATGCCAGACAGGTAAATGCCGCGTGTTGTTTTAACTAATTGTAGGGGAACTGGGTTGTAGGGGAAATGGGATGTAGGGGTTTTGGGAGACAACCCCGTGTTCAGGTGAAATGCAGTGCGTACGAAACAAGTGTCATGTGGTCACATAAGCTCCGCCCACTCATTAATATTGAAGCCTTAAGACCTAAGACCATTGTTGGTTTAAGGGCTCAGCATGCGTTATAAGTTACCTCAAGGGTGGCGGTACTTCAACGCTCTAAACTCTATAACCCGCCGAAGCTCACACCAACCTACTTTTATGTAGTTGCTAGGAACACGATACACTCTAAACAATACTGGAAAACGGACAAGGTAGTTACAGAGAACACCAACAAGACATGAAGCCGAAGCCGGTCGAGGACGCGGATGTAGTACACGGACATGGCTTTCCCCAAGGCACGGTGTATGTGTTCCAAGATGTCAGGACTTACACAGTGATATTCTGAGGAAGGTTAGTCCTACGTAGCACAGAGAGAGAGAGAGAGAGAGAGAGAGAGAGAGAGAGAGAGAGAGAGAGAGAGAGAGAGAGAGAGAGAGAGAGAGAGAGAGAGAGAGAGAGAGAGAGAGAGAGAGAGAGAGAGAGAGAGAGAGAGAGAGAGAGAGAGTACACTTCGATCCGCTCAGATAGCATTACTAGCCCGATTGCAAACATTCTTGAAGCCTAGTTCAAACCGACTGACCTTGACCTTAAATGCAAATCAATCACATATGAAGTCAGGTGAGGATCACGTCACTGATAACGGTGTTAGAACCTACACGTCGCACCTAGTTGACATAAAGAAGTTGTTCCTCCACATATCTTATCCTTACTTAGTACTCCAACTTCTAAATGCCTCTCAAAGAAGTTTAATAGCGTGGTCAAAGTATAGTGCGAATTCAATGACAGTAGGTCAGAGAATGACCACGAGCAGCATCGCTCGAAGGATATTAACTTCCGATTGTCATTTAAAGTTATTTATCTTCGAATAACATCTTGTGACGTCATACAATTGTTCTAAGCAGCGAACTTCCACATACTATCCCCCTGTTCAAGTGATATTCTATAGAAAGTCCCTCTGTCACAGAGATTTATTTCGTATTTGAACACAATCCATATGTTACACATAATAGTTGCAACTTGACGAAATGCGGAACAATCTGCAAACAAATGTTACTTATATTTCAGTGTAATCGAACCTGCAGCCGCCGTATTTGTAGCCTAGTGAATGCACTACTAGCCAACCGAAACAAACAAACAAACAAACAAACATCAAACAAACACGGCGCTGATAAACCGTAATGCTTTTAAGATTGTTTACGTATACGTGTACTATAGCAAGAAATATTTTACATCCGTTTCCAAAGGTTCATGTAAAATGTCTTGGAACCATAAACTGGGGATGCTACTTGTGATTGACATTTCTCTCATAATATTTAATTAATAAATCGTGTCTCTAAAGGTTCTGCTTAGAAAACATCGAAAGCTAGCATGACGTATCAACATCGCATATATATTGCATCTTGTTTTGTTTTTGGGTGCTTGTTAAAAGTATGTTTTGTAAGATAAAACTCGAATGCAAATATTGAATGAAGCTTCAGTATAATACGTAAATAACCTCCATTCACTGCCTTTACCATTCGTGACCAACTCGTGTTATTCCGGGACAAGCCGAATATCGACTCGTGCCCCTCTCGTGGCCATTTTTGCGACCGGGTTCCGTCTTAGCGCAAACGGGCATACCTAAAACAAATGTCAACTCGTTGCGTAATGGTTCACATATTATTTCCCCATGTATTATATATATTTCAGATGCAATTTAAAACACATTGGGACGTGCGGAATTATACAGTATGCTTGAACACATTTAACTGTGTCTTGGGTATATTTTTAGATGCAAGACATATGTAGAATCAAAAATTATTTCTGAGGGATTCTTTGACGAAGAACTTAAAATCATACGCGCATTCTGATTGGTTTGTCGTATTTTCGCACATAACATTCATCGATAGGGGGACGAGTCTCCTTGCAGGTTACGGAAAGGGGCGAGTGGTGACGAATGTGCCTTTACATCAACGCTAGGGCAAGTCAAGTCTTTTTACTTGAACATCTTCCGCAGTGGCAATCTCATCAAAATCAGACCTTAGTTTTCGCTAGCGCTACCGCTACGCAAAGATCTGAGGACATTCCACTTCAGATCACGTCAGAACGACCTTTTGCAAACTTTGACCGACCAGTGAAATGATTGACAAGAAGTCGACATTAGCCAATCAGAAAGCAGCGTTCTCTAGCTATACGGTACTAGCTTCCATTCCAGACTGCGCTTTGAAAAATATTTTGACAAGGTTTCAAAATCTGAAACTTGAACAAAAGAACATTCTAGAAATATCTAATAGATGGCCGAAATTCCTCACAGGGGCTATGCAAAGTCTCCACTGTTCAAATGTTTATCCCGCTGAAGCGAGAGATAGAAGAGCATTTTGACTGAATTAGTCGATCAGCCCATAGCTGTTATTCGGAATAACCCGTGTTAATCTTTTCGAGGTTGCATGCTCAGAAAACACATTCCGATTGTTGCTTTCCCATCTGGTAAGCAACGCTCTGATTGGTCGGATAAAAGGTCGTTCTGACGTGACCCGAAATGGGATGTCGTCAGATCTTTGTTTAGCGGTAGCGAGAAGCAAAATTACATTTGATTGAGATTGCTGTAGTGGATATATGTTTTTGTCAAACTTTATAAAACTTACTCCCCCCCACCGCCACGATGATGTGTGAGGTGGATATAGGAATGCGTACTGACCGTCCGTTTTTCCGTCTTTTTCACGTTTTGCTTACAGAGTTAAATATTTCACGACCAAACTTTGCACACATATCAGTTAATTCATGAACTTGTTCCTTTTCTAGAAATGTTTAAAATTCTATTAAGGAACCTATGCTTGTCGTAAGAGTCGGCCTTGACCTCACTGACCGCGTGATCGTACCGACGTGGGGCGTTCTTCATAACATCAAACCAGTTCAAGTGAATATAAAATGTCAATGCAAGAGAATAATCAGTCTTGATTATCAGCCGTCAAAGATCAGATTTGGCGTAAAGGGCAACACGACCGCCTCCGTGGTCTAATGGTAGATCGTCCGCCCGGAGAGCGGAAGGTCCGGGGTTCGATCCCCAGCCGCGTCATACCAAAAGACGTTAAAAGATGGTACTTGTTGTTACCCTGTCTGGCGCTCGGCATTAAGGGGCTAAAACAAGGACTGGTCGGCTCGGAGTCAGTATACTGTGTGTGAGTGGGGTATTCATGTTAAACTGCGGCATGGTATCTCAGTGTGCTAGCACTATACATCGGCATCAGTCCGTTCTAGTTCAAGGAGCCACACACTCACATATACACGTGCATGCCCGTCGCTATATAAGTGCAATAATCTTGGAAGAGACGTTAAACCCCATTTCACCTCACCTCAACCTAAAGGGCAACATAGCTGTGAAACGTATATGAATGGACCACTGACACCAGGTGTTCACCAAAAGGCTACCAAGTCAAAAGGACACCTGTACGCAAATAGTTTCTGTACTATAATTGTCTCTTTTACAGAAGAATGACGGGAACCTACAAAGGGTATATCACAGTGATAGTCTCGGTCCTCATGATTTGGACTGTAATGGAGTATGCTGCTTCAAACTACTGGACTCGAACGGACACAAATGACTTCATTGTACCAGCAAAGCACCCTGGTGTAGACCATAGTGTGTCCGCTGAGAGTCCTCGGTGCCCGGATGTGAAGACAGGGATGATGAGAGGAAGATGGACGCCTCGCACTCTGACTGCACAAGAGAAAGTTGATATTGACACATTCCTTCAGTCAGCTCGAAGTTCACATGGTCTGCCGAAGTCAATGCAGAGAAGGGACGGAAAATGTGGGAATGTGGCATATGAAAACCTTCACTACTTTCGTGCACTGTGTAACCCGGAAGGTGCTACGCCATGTTGCTATGGGGATACGTGCATTAACAAGACCCCGGATGACTGTAAATGTCCGAGCTGTTTCGATCTTCGGAACGAGATTTATGCAGAGTACTCAACGTGGGAGCCCGAAGATTCCCGATGTCAGGTGAAGAACTTCACGGCTCAACAGGCATGTGATCTTCTACAGGGGCTGACACTAGCCTTTGTTGGGGATTCTTTAATGCGTCACGTGTACACGGCCATGTTGATGGTGCTCTCCAACAGCACTGCCCTCAATCCAGATAAAGGTATGTATATACATGCCATAGTGAAAGTAAATGTTTGCTGTAGAGTTGCGACCCTTAGCCATACCTCGATCCGCTGGTCATGCGCCTTGTTTGAGATCCCCTGTCTGTCTTCACCCTCCCATACTCATGGATTTCATCCAAGTGTGCATTTGTAACCTGCTTCACTTTGGAAGTAAGTCGCAGTTCAAACATTATTCAAGGTGGTTTTACAACCACTCGCTCACTCATTCACTTAAGACAGTCATATATACTTATCTCTCTGTATTTCCATGTCTGGATATCCTTTTGTATTTTTTAAACACATTAATGTCTAGTATCCCTTTTTAAGTAAATAGTGTCTTGTCTGAAGGTAGTATTTGTACCGGAAACGCCGTAATGTTGTATGTTCGACTAATGGTGCAAATGAAGTAGTACTCTCTTGTGAAGACAGGCTTCAAGAGCGGCCAGGTAATGGCGGCTGGGAAGCCGAGTTGTAATTGCATTGGATAAGACTCGAGTTAATTGCCCACGTGGACACACTGTGTGAAGTCTATTCTTAATGTTCCACGGCGTGACATGATAGGGATGATTGTAAAAGCGATTTAAAACGAACGCGTAACAAAACGTGTTAACATACATATATTTCAAGTGATCTAACAAATTCATTTTTGTCAAAGAATTTATTCTTATTGCCTTTCAGATAGCCATGTCCAATGCAACGGAATGTACGCATTCTCAGACAAAATATGTAGGGCAAACATCAAGAGACAAGCAACATTCTGTGGTGGGAGTGTGACATTGAAAATGTTGGAATACTTTCATCTCGAAGATGCGGCAAAATTTCATGCGGATTTTCATTCATTTCTTAACCAAAACAAAACAGTTGTACTAGTTGGTGTTGGGTGCCACGATAATTTTAACTTTGAGAGGGTGTTTAATGAATATATATATCCTGTTATCGACATGATGAAAAAGAACAAAGCTTTATGGCCAAAGGTGATCTGGTCTGCCAATCACAAATTTGGTCTCCTGAAATCTCCTAAGATTCCATTACAAGACAATAGTCACGTAGCATCCTTCAACAGACTTATGTCTGAGGGGTTAGGAAAATATGCTATACCCATTTTTGACACTTATAACTTAACTTCCGGTGTGATGAGTACGGACGGAGGTCATTTTGGTATTGGTGTAAATGTCATGAAAGTGCAGATGCTTCTGAACTATTTGTTGGAATTGAAATCAAACTGGTAAACCAAAACAATGGTTATTTTATGTATATCAGACATCAGATTTTGGCACATTTGTCCACAATATTTTGCGTATTATTATGTGTCTAAATACAAAGTAGTTATATGAAATATGTAGGTGTTTGGTGTTTAAAACACGTCAGGTTTTGAAGTAAATCTAGTGCAGGTGAAAACTGTTCAAAATGTATTTGTATTAATTGTCAGCAAATGATTGAACTACAAGTAAAACATATATAAGTATTGTTCTGATCAGATTTGAACAACAATCAACAGCAGCGAGTGAAGCATTCCAGAATGTTTTTCGTACTAAAATGCAAGTGAGCTGTCCTTGTTGTGTACATGAATGGGAAAGGTTTGATCGTTCAAGAAGTATCTGGATAAAAAATAGGCTGGTTGAACATATAACGAGCGACAAGAGGGTGATTCAAGACCTTTTCGACATGCCTTGTTCCTAATGTCATTGCCAAGTGGATAGACTAACATATAGTCTCTGAAATGAACATATCGTACAGAAAAAACAGTTGCTCAGTTATCTTAATAAAAATATAATAAAAAGGGAGCCCAGTGATTCTCTTTATTTTCCTGATACTACAGTAATCTAGACTTGCCAAACATATTAGACATGGGCTGTAGTTGATATATTTGTATCAGGGTCTGTAAGACAGACTACTAAGTGGAAACACCGAATTCCTACCAGCTTCCAACACTGTTCTTGATTCGAGAACTGAGAGAGTCCTCTGTCAAACAAGAGTGCCACAAATCTGTGCTACATTTTTTAAATACAAAAGACTCAGATTTGGTAACATATGTATCTCTTTAGACTCAGATTTGGTAACATATGTATCTCTATACACTCAGATTTGGTAACATATGTATCTCTTTAGACTCAGATTTGGTAACATATGTATCTCTATACACTCAGATATGGTAACATATGTATCTCTTTAGACTCAGATTTGTTAACATATGTATCTCTATACACTCAGATATGGTAACATATTTATCTCTTTGGACTCAGAGTTGGTAACATATGTATCTCTTTAGACTCAGATTTGGTAACATATGTATCTCTATACACTCAGATTTGGTAACATATGTATCTCTATACACTCAGATTTGGTAACATATGTATCTCTTTAGACTCAGATTTGGTAACATATGTATGTCTATACACTCAGATTTGGTAACATATGTATCTCTATACACTCAGATTTGGTAACATATGTATCTCTTTGGACTCAGATTTGGTATCATATGTATCTCTTTGGACTCAGATTTGGTACCATATGTATCTCTTTGGACTCAGAATTGGTAACATATGTATCTCTTTAGACTCAGATTTGGTAACATATGTATCTCTATACACTCAGATTTGGTAACATATGTATCTCTTTAGACTCAGATTTGGTAACATATGTATCTCTTTGGACTCAGATTTGGTATCATATGTATCTCTTTGGACTCAGATTTGGTAACATATGTATCTCTTTGGACTCAGATTTGGTAACATATGTATCTCTATACACTCAGATTTGGTAACATATGTATCTCTTTGGAATCAGATTTGGTATCATATGTATCTCTTTGGACTCAGATTTGGTACCATATGTATCTCTTTGGACTCAGAATTGGTAACATATGTATCTCTTTAGACTCAGATTTGGTAACATATGTATCTCTATACACTCAGATTTGGTAACATATGTATCTCTTTAGACTCAGATTTGGTAACATATGTATCTCTTTGGACTCAGATTTGGTATCATATGTATCTCTTTGGACTCAGATTTGGTACCATATGTATCTCTTTGGACTCAGAATTGGTAACATATGTATCTCAAAAGACTCAGATTTGGCAACATATGTATCTCTAAACACTCAGATTTGATAACATATGTATCTCTTTAGACTCAGATTTGGTAACATATGTATCTCTATACACTCAGATATGGTAACATATGTATCTCTTTAGACTCAGATTTGTTAACATATGTATCTCTATACACTCAGATATGGTAACATATTTATCTCTTTGGACTCAGAGTTGGTAACATATGTATCTCTTTAGACTCAGATTTGGTAACATATGTATCTCAAAAGACTCAGATTTGGTAACATATGTATCTCTATACACTCAGATTTGGTAACATATGTATCTCTATACACTCAGATTTGGTAACATATGTATCTCTATACACTCAGATTTGGTAACATATGTATCTCTTTAGACTCAGATTTGGTAACATATGTATCTCTATACACTCAGATATGGTAACATATGTATCTCTTTAGACTCAGATTTGTTAACATATGTATCTCTATACACTCAGATATGGTAACATATTTATCTCTTTGGACTCAGAGTTGGTAACATATGTATCTCTTTAGACTCAGATTTGGTAACATATGTATCTCAAAAGACTCAGATTTGGTAACATATGTATCTCTATACACTCAGATTTGGTAACATATGTATCTCTTTAGACTCAGATTTGGTAACATATGTATGTCTATACACTCAGATTTGGTAACATATGTATCTCTTAAGACTCAGATTTGTTAACATATGTATCTCTATACACTCAGATATGGTAACATATTTATCTCTTTGGACTTAGAGTTGGTAACATATGTATCTCTTTAGACTCAGATTTGGTAACATATGTATCTCTATACACTCAGATTTGGTAACATATGTATCTCTTTGGACTCAGATTTGGTATCATATGTATCTCTTTGGACTCAGATTTGGTACCATATGTATCTCTTTGGACTCAGAATTGGTAACATATGTATCTCAAAAGACTCAGATTTGGTAACATATGTATCTCTAAACACTCAGATTTGGTAACATATGTATCTCTTTAGACTCAGATTTGGTAACATATGTATCTCTATACACTCAGATTTGGTAACATATGTATCTCTTTAGACTCAGATTTGTTAACATATGTATCTCTATACACTCAGATATGGTAACATATTTATCTCTTTGGACTCAGATTTGTTAACATATGTATCTCTATACACTCAGATATGGTAACATATTTATCTCTTTGGACTCAGAGTTGGTAACATATGTATCTCTTTAGACTCAGATTTGGTAACATATGTATCTCTATACACTCAGATTTGGTAACATATGTATCTCTATACACTCAGATTTGGTAACATATGTATCTCTTTAGACTCAGATTTGGTAACATATGTATGTCTATACACTCAGATTTGGTAACATATGTATCTCTTTGGACTCAGATTTGGTATCATATGTATCTCTTTGGACTCAGATTTGGTACCATATGTATCTCTTTGGACTCAGAATTGGTAACATATGTATCTCTTTAGACTCAGATTTGGTAACATATGTATCTCTATACACTCAGATTTGGTAACATATGTATCTCTTTAGACTCAGATTTGGTAACATATGTATCTCTTTGGACTCAGATTTGGTATCATATGTATCTCTTTGGACTCAGATTTGGTAACATATGTATCTCTTTGGACTCAGATTTGGTAACATATGTATCTCTATACACTCAGATTTGGTAACATATGTATCTCTTTGGACTCAGATTTGGTATCATATGTATCTCTTTGGACTCAGATTTGGTACCATATGTATCTCTTTGGACTCAGAATTGGTAACATATGTATCTCTTTAGACTCAGATTTGGTAACATATGTATCTCTATACACTCAGATTTGGTAACATATGTATCTCTTTAGACTCAGATTTGGTAACATATGTATCTCTTTGGACTCAGATTTGGTATCATATGTATCTCTTTGGACTCAGATTTGGTACCATATGTATCTCTTTGGACTCAGAATTGGTAACATATGTATCTCAAAAGACTCAGATTTGGCAACATATGTATCTCTAAACACTCAGATTTGATAACATATGTATCTCTTTAGACTCAGATTTGGTAACATATGTATCTCTATACACTCAGATATGGTAACATATGTATCTCTTTAGACTCAGATTTGTTAACATATGTATCTCTATACACTCAGATATGGTAACATATTTATCTCTTTGGACTCAGAGTTGGTAACATATGTATCTCTTTAGACTCAGATTTGGTAACATATGTATCTCAAAAGACTCAGATTTGGTAACATATGTATCTCTATACACTCAGATTTGGTAACATATGTATCTCTATACACTCAGATTTGGTAACATATGTATCTCTATACACTCAGATTTGGTAACATATGTATCTCTTTAGACTCAGATTTGGTAACATATGTATCTCTATACACTCAGATATGGTAACATATGTATCTCTTTAGACTCAGATTTGTTAACATATGTATCTCTATACACTCAGATATGGTAACATATTTATCTCTTTGGACTCAGAGTTGGTAACATATGTATCTCTTTAGACTCAGATTTGTTAACATATGTATCTCTATACACTCAGATTTGGTAACATATGTATCTCTATACACTCAGATTTGGTTACATATGTATCTCTTTAGACTCAGATTTGGTAACATATGTATCTCTATACACTCAGATTTGGTAACATATGTATCTCTTAAGACTCAGATTTGTTAACATATGTATCTCTATACACTCAGATATGGTAACATATTTATCTCTTTGGACTTAGAGTTGGTAACATATGTATCTCTTTAGACTCAGATTTGTTAACATATGTATCTCTATACACTCAGATTTGGTAACATATGTATCTCTTTGGACTCAGATTTGGTATCATATGTATCTCTTTGGACTCAGATTTGGTACCATATGTATCTCTTTGGACTCAGAATTGGTAACATATGTATCTCAAAAGACTCAGATTTGGTAACATATGTATCTCTAAACACTCAGATTTGGTAACATATGTATCTCTTTAGACTCAGATTTGGTAACATATGTATCTCTATACACTCAGATTTGGTAACATATGTATCTCTTTAGACTCAGATTTGTTAACATATGTATCTCTATACACTCAGATATGGTAACAAATTTATCTCTTTGGACTCAGAGTTGGTAACATATGTATCTCTCTAGACTCAGATTTGGTAACATATTTATCTCTATACACTTAGATTTGGTAACATATGTATCTCTATACACTCAGATTTGGTAACATATGTATCTCTTTGGACTCAGATTTGGTATCATATGTATCTCTTTGGACTCAGATTTGGTACCCTATGTATCTCTTTGGACTCAGAGTTGGTAACATATGTACATGTACTTATATATGCTGTACATATAACGAACAACGGTTATTACGATCTAAAATTAGAGGCCCCTTTGAGTTCGTTATAACCGTAGTTTACTGTAGAAATATCCTTATAGTTTCAGGATGTAATTGAATGAAGTATGTACAATTGCACTGAATGTGTTATGCTAAACATTTATAAAAAGAAGAGAAGAAAAGGAAAGGGTTTGAAAGGCATCCTTGTCCAAAACCAATATTACAATCCAAGGTAATCAACAGATTTCAGTTATTTCGAACACTAAACCTTTACATTGTTGTACAT